GAAGAAATGTTCACAATCTAGGGTTCTGTTAAGAGAATATTCTATGGGGCCGGGGATTTAACTCAGTGGTTCTGCTGCCTACCCTGCAAGCTCAAGGACCTGAGTTCGATCCCCAGTACCAAACAAAAAGAGAGCGAGAATATTCTATGGCAGCAGTTCCATCCACTGCATACTATCTTACAGATTGTCTATTGGAGTAACAGAAAAGGATGCAGGATAAATTTAAGCAGCACCGAAAAAGAGATTTATTGTATTTGCTTTATACTTTTTTAAAAAATGTCTCAAATTCATTTTCTACTTGAAAATAAGACAATTCAAGAAACACAAATCTGTGAAAGGGTCTCCTCTTCTTAGTTTTGAAGCTAGTGTTGGCTCCTTGTAATTCACCCTGCTTGTGCACCTACACTTAGGTAGACACATGGCTGTGTTTTCTTTAGTCTTTTCCGGAGAAAGAGAAAGTCTCCTGATTGTTATTTTTGGAAACAAGGGAATATTGGTGATATCCTTCAGGCCACAATGAGGTGATGGAGGTGATGGGTGAGTCTTAGGTGGTACACTAGTAGTTTTTATTGGCTTAGAATCCTCCATCTCTTGTTGATCTGTGTAGTTTAGCACTCCTTTAGATCGAGGCCGGGTGACTGGACTGTCTGATGTACTTGTGAGATTCTGAGTGTTTTTGCACTTAGGGGCACATAGAGATCATCAGTATTGTCTCCAGAACTGCTGGATTCAAAGGTGCTCACTTCAGACTTACTGTTGTTTTCTTCTGTAAGAGTCAGTGTTGTTTTTTTGTCGGAAAGGAGTGAGATGAATACCTTCTTCCAAATTAAAATTGTAAACGTCACTAGAACCGGCAGATTCATCCAATTTTGAGGAGCAGACAGTTTTTTGATTTTCACTTTTGTTCCCTTTATACTTTGATGTAGGCTTAGATTTTCTTCTGTTAGCTTTTCTTTTCGTTTTTTCTTTTTCTTGTATACCTCTGTGCTGACTTTTTTTTTTTTTTTCAGATTTAGATTCTAAAATGACTTCTTTCATTTTGGTAAACTTTCCTGGTTGAATCAGCCTTGGTGATAAATTAATTTTGTCTGTGTTCCATTGACAGACATTTCTTCATTTTTTGGTGTGTGCATGTTTACTTCTGGGTCAACATATCTGATTCTTTCCAGTTCAAAAGATTGCCCTTCCAAATAACTAGTTTCAAAATTATCCAAGGTATCGAATTGACAGACTATTAAAATGTTCCTTTACATGGCAACAGAGAGTTACAGTTCTAGGTAAGACATTAGCAGTAAACTAGCTTCACTTGAATCAAAATTAGATCCCACTGTGTCTTGAAGAGTAGAAAGTATTTGCTCTTCTATATGGAATAATTCTCCTTGTCCTGGAAGGTCAGTTTCTTGAAAAGGAACTTGCAGTAGATCCTTTGCAAATAAATCCCTGGGGTTGTCATCATTATTGGAGTCCATTCCTGAGAGACATACTTCCTGGTTCTGAGCAGTATCTTCTGTTTGTCGTGAAGTAAGTTTTTCTTTCAGTGCATATAGCTGACATGCAAGGTAGTAACATTCTTTCCTTAGCTATAGGATGTTATCTTGGGCCTCTCTCACTTTGGATTTTTCATTTTCCAAAACTAAAACTAACATTCTGTTGTGGTTTTGGTAATTTTTCAGCAGTGTACAAGTGTTGGTAATCACTTGGCACAGTGCAGGTATAAAGGACCTGCATTTGCCAATCTCTGCCAAGTTTTTATTCCTTTTCTCTTTCATTCGCTTCTTTATGTCTTTAAGACTATCTTGAGAGGACTTTTTCTGGCACCTTTCTTTGGCCATCTTCTGTTTCCTGACCAGGCCAAGGGTGTCAACAGTAGATGTGGCAGAATGAATGAAAATACAGACAGATCAGTGTGGGATGATGGTCTCAATATGTATGGTAGTCAAAAGAACCTCGAATAGTTATTCCCTGCCCATATTCTGTTATCAGTCCTGCTGCAGAGGCAGCCAGGTACAATATTAGTCTGTGTCGGTTTCTGCTGCATACCCAAGGGAGCCAAAATCCTCAGCCAGTACTTGTGCAGCTGTCGCCCTCTTCCTCACATCCCAAGACTCTGCAAAGCTGTCCTGCCTCACTTGACCCCTCACATTCCAGTGCTTGATTTGGTTTTTCTCCTTATGATAAACTAAAAATACAGAGTAAATTCATTCAAGATAAGTGATTGATACAAATGCAGTTTCAAATATTTCTTTATTATTATAGTGAACCTGCTTTATTTTTCCCCAACAGTACCCCGAGATTTTCCTTATGAAGAGGACTCAAGACCTCGATCGCAGTCTTCCAAAGCTGCCATTCCTCCTCCAGTATATGAAGAACAGGATAGGCCAAGATCTCCAACTGGACCCAGCAACTCCTTCCTTGCTAACATGGGGTAATGATTTAAATGTTCTCGTTTGAGTAAATGAAAACATGACATAAGAAATAGTGTGAAATATTAATAGCTCTTTCAGCAGATTCAGCTCATTTGAAAGTAAGGATATTTGGGCTTATGAGGAGGCACGTGGTATGTTCACAGTGTCCTACTCAAGGATTAGTGTTGGAGTCATATGAAGTGTGTTCCAATATATGGTTTTGTGCAAAACAGCCTATTAGAAATTTTGACTGATTTAGATGTTAAACATTATTTCTCTAGATAGGAACAGTTTCTGATCATTATTTACAGTTAGCATTTGCAATTAAAGTAGCACATGTGTATTAGAGCTGATTGAGGTTATCTAGAAAGGATCAGTGACCTGTCATTTACTTTAAGGTCATAGTTCTATACTTTTGATTTAAAAAGTTGATCTGTGTAAGGGATACAGGTCAGTGATAGAGTACTTGCCTAGCACAGGTGAGGCCCTGGGTTCAAGCCCCAGGACTGCAAAACAAAAACCCCTGGTCATTGTAACTATAATTAGACATTTGTTTGCTGGTTCATAAGTCATTTTTAAGGTTCCCATACAGGTAGAACTCTAGTGTTTTGTTTTAACCCTTGCTGGATTTTGCATGCATTTTGGTTAAAAGAATATTTTTTTGTTTACTTTGATGTTGTGAAGAGGTCATCAAATAAAAGGATGTTACACTAAGATCTTTGTTCTATGTTAACAGGATCCTGCCATAGTAGAAATGCTGCTAGTGAGACAGTCCAGCATGGTAATCACACTGAGCTGCCTCACCTGTTTATATCCCTTTTAGTTCTCAGAGCCCTCTGGGAGGTGACTAGTCAGATTTAGAGTAGATGGCTGGGAATCAAACACATGAAAAACATTTTGAGTTTCCTACTCTCTTGTCCATCTCCTAAACTTGTTTGGTTTTGTGGTAGCTATTAGCCATAGGTCATTATCAAATTAGTTTGAAATTTAAACTTTAGTTCCTCAGTCACACTAGCCTTATTTCAAGTGCTCAGTAACCACATGTAACTAATGATGGCTGTATTTGACAGTGTAGATATAGCATATTTCTATTATTACTATAAATTCAGCTGGGCATGGTGTTGCATATCTGTAATCCCAGCACTTGGGAGGCTGGGGCAGGAGGATCACCATGAGTTCAAGGCCAGCCTGGGCTACATAGTGAGTTCAACAGAGAACCTGTCTCAAAAAAAAAAAGTTTTGGGCTGGGGATTTACGTCAGTGGTTTTGCCGCCTGCCTCACAAGCACAAGGATCTGAGTTCAATCCCCAGTACCAAAGAAAAAGGAAAAAAAAAAGTTTTATTTAACAGTAATGCCCTAGAATGTATGCTGGAAGGTTGGGTTTTTATTTTTGTTTTCCCCTGCTTATAATAGCAATTGACTTTTTGCTTAATTCCCTTTGAAGCTGGAAGGTTGGGTTTTTATTTTTGTTTTCCCCTGCTTATAATAGCAATTGACTTTTTGCTTAATTCCCTTTGAAACAGGAGTTTCTGTGTTTAAAATAGATGCAGTAGCAATGTGGCACTGTATATACTTCAACCATTTTCAGTCATTTTTTTTTCTCCTATTGCTTGTTCAAAAGACAATCTAAAAAGAGTTAAGTACATGAAATATGTTGGTGCAGTTCTAGTGGAAGCAGTGTTTTATGGTTGGAGATAAGCAGCAGTGGTTGCAGGGTAGCCCTCTGGAGACACATCAGGCACCTCAAAGTATAAAGTGAAAGCTGTTTTGCCCTCACAGAAAGAGCGGACTAAGTATCAAGAATTGTGGTTCTAGTTTTTAGTATGTGTGCTGCTAAAGTGAGCACATGGGTTCTAATTTTAATTCTACCATTAACATGTATAGAAATAATTTCTAAATGTGTTGCTTTACAATCATCTTCATTATGCCGAGTGTGGTGCCACACAGTTGTAATCCCAGCACGTGTGAGGCTGAGGCAGGAGGATTGCCACGAGTTTGAGGCCAGCCTCACATAGTGAGTTCAAGGCCAGCCTGAACTAAACAGCAAGAGCTTGTCTCAAAAAAAAGAAACAATCATCTTCATTATCTAAATTTCATACATATTTTTGGATAGGCAACTGTTTTAAATAACTGTTGTCATAAGCCATGTGGCAGTCCAAATCCAAGAGCACAAAAGAAGTCTAATTTTCTCAGTACTGGGGAGATTTTATCAGAAAACCCAGCATTTCCCCTCTGAGATAATCTCAGGGTATCCTGGGTTGTGGTCATTAACTGTTTATATTTTTCTCATCCTGAACATCACCACAGCTTCCATCTAAAGGCTCACTGTTTATTGTACATGACCTCACTACACTCTCCAGAAAGAGATTGCTGTGATATAAAATCCAACTTATTATAGTTGATGATAACTTTTCCATTGTCCTCCTCCTCCTAGTGGCACAGTAGCACATAAGATCATGCAGAAGTATGGCTTCCGGGAAGGCCAGGGCCTGGGGAAGCATGAGCAGGGGCTGAGCACTGCGTTATCAGTGGAGAAGACCAGCAAACGAGGTGGCAAGATCATTGTAGGTGATGCCACTGAGAAGGGTGAATCTCAAGGTGAGTTCACAGAGAAGCAGAGCTCCTTCAATCCAGAGAAAGAGGCAGGCCCTCCCCCTGGCAGCATACTGTAATTCCCCCATTGTGGTGCACTGCTGCTTCTGTTTTGTGGAGCCAAGAAGCCTGAGGGTCATCTTTATTTTTTTAGAACAAAAAGAAATGAAGGCCTGCAGGAGAGGGAAAAAAATGAGACTTTGTCAGACAATGAACAGTCCTTAGCAAAATAATTTTATAGCATATAGGACATAGCCAAATACATTGTACCAGTGATTATATCTGCGTCATCTTTTCCTCTACTTTTTTTCTGCTCATTCATTATAGATGTTCTGTAATTGCTCTGTGAAATCTCACATTGCTTTGTAGTTTTTTGGTAGATGGTATCTACTTGATTTTTATTTTCATTTGATTTTTAAGCAGAGAAATTGTGTTAACTTTGAGTCAGCTAAGTTCCATTTTCTGAAATAAGAAAAAACTCCTGTGGGCAACCCTATTAATGCACAGATTAGTAAGCAGCAGTCAGCCTGAATGTTAGTACCAAAAATCATCAGTTATCCAGATTTGTGATAATATCTAAAGTCGGTCAGCTAGTGACTGCTTGCTGCTCTGGGCTAGTGGTGATCTTGAACTACTACAGGGTAGAACTCACCAGCAAAGGTTGTGATCCATGTGTTCTTATTAGCCTTGTAGGAAATGAAATGAGCAAAAAAACACTGCAGGCAATGGTAGAAGCTAGAAACTTTCAGAAAATACTATGAAACATCAATGCAGGCTGGGAATTTAGCTCAGTGGTTTTGCTGCCTGCTGCGCAAGCGCAAGGACCCAAGTTCGATCCCTGATACACACAAAAAAAATCAATGCAAACCAGAGCTTTTATTGCAGATAATGCAGCATTTTTACTCAGAGACTGCTGGCATAGATGCTTTTGGGTGACTTTAGGATTTAAATGATATAAATTGCTATTATAATTAAGTTCATCATTGTAATAGAACTCAGTTATGTTAACTTGTCTGATATGTTTTGACACAGATGCATCAAAGAAGTCAGATTCAAATCCATTAACTGAAATACTTAAATGTCCTACTAAAGTGGTCCTACTGAGGGTAAGTAGCAAATGAAAACCTGTCTGCCTACCTTAATTTTTGTCTCATCCCATTCTACCCTACCTCCACATGCATTCTCCCTACTGTCATAAAAGTGAAAGAAAACTAAAAAGAATACTTTTGCAAATAATGCCTTTGTATAGGTTCCATAAAAAACTGAACTTTTCACTGTGTAAGTTTGTCAAATACAATTTTTGAGATTGCAGTTATTAAAATGTTTAGAAAAAAAAATGTTTAGAAAATTGCTAAACTTCCACTTAGTTTCTACATTTTGGTCCTTACATAGATGTAACTCTTTTCAAAGCTTAGGGTATGTTTAAAGATACAACTTTGGTAATTCAGGGGCAGAATTTTTCATTGTGTCATTTGGGACTAAGAACATTTGCCGTTATGAAGGGATATCTTATAAAACTTAAATATTTGTAAATTATATGTGGTACTTACTTTTTTATTTGTTTTTAGAACATGGTTGGTGCAGGAGAAGTCGATGAAGACTTGGAAATTGAAACCAAGGAAGAATGTGAAAAATATGGCAAAGTTGGCAAATGTGTGATATTTGAAGTAAGAGAGTTTTCTCTTGATGTTTATAAGTTGTAATTGGCAGTTTACAGAACATTTTGTACAAATGGGGAAGGTATTGCTATAATTAGGACTGTCCTACTGTAGAGGATGATGAATATTGGTTATATTTCTTATATAAAAACAAGAATTCAGATTTTATTTGGCAAAGAAATAGAAATGTTTCATTTCCTGATTGAAGATCAGGATCGTGTTTAAATACCTTGATTGACAAACTTATGCTTAATTGTTTAATTAGGCATGCCTTTGGTTTCAGTCATTTGGCAAGTATTTAGTGCCATCTGTATGTCCCATGCTGTATAGGAGATCATTTAGTATGCAGAAAGTATGTTTTGTGTGCTTGGGGGATGTATTCATTTGAAGAAACACAAGCACATGTAAAATAATAAGACAACGTTCAGTTGCTGTATTTGCTGGTATCAGCTGTAAGTGGAAGAGTCAAGAAAAAGATTACATCAACAAAAATAGAGACGGCTTTGTGAACATTATCAGATGTGGGCTGAACTTTGAAGTGAACCAGTAGGATTTATTGGGAAGAAAGGAGGAACAGTATTTAGATTGAGGGAACACGAGATGTGAGAAGATGACAAAGATGGAATGATTGGGCATGTAGGGAATTAGTAGGAGATGTGCCTGTGTAAGTGGAATAGACCCACATTGTGGAGAGTGTAGAAAGATGGACAGAGCTGGCCAAAATGTAGACATCATACGAAATTTTTATCTAAGATTTCTTTCTTTTTGTGTGTGTGTTTTGTTTTTTGAGATAAGGTCTCACAATGTAATTTAGGTTGGCCTTGAACTCACTAGTTAGCCCAGTCTGCCTTTGAACTTGGAATAATCCTGCCTCAGAACTCCCTAGTGCTAGGATTATGTGCATGTGTCACCATGCTTGGCTTTTATCTAAAATTTCTACTTGCATTTCTGCTTTATTGTATTTCTGTTTGTTGACCGTATTATTTGTTTGCATGCCAGCTGGCATAGGGCCTCCACGAAGTCAAAGACTTTCTTGTGCACTGTGTGTGGTGGTACACACCTATAATCCCAGCACTCGGGAGGCTGGGGCAGGAGGATTACTGTGAGTTTGAGGCCAGCCTGCACTACAAAATGAGACCCTGTCTCAAAAACCAACACGCACAAAAAGGCTGCCTTGTGTAGCTCCCAGCACCCAACATGGTACTTCTCTTTAAACAGATATTCTTGGGCCGAGGATTTAGCTCAGTGGTTCTGCTGCCTGCCTCGAAAGCACAAGGACCTGAGTTCAGTCCCTGGTACCAAAAAAAA